TAACTCAGTTAATCTAGACACTAACTCAGTTAATCTAGACACTAACTATTTACGAGGTTCCTCGGGAGAGTTGTGGAGGTATTCCTGGAGCCTGCTGGCCCATTGGTCTGAAGTGGCTCTGCTACCATAAAGAGGGCTGTCTTTCTGCTGAGCGAGCACTTCACACCCTATATACCCTGTTTAATCCTCACTGTTCAGGACTTGGCAGCGTCTCTCCCCCCATCTTCTTCTTCTTCTTCTTCTTCTTCTTCTTCTTCTTCTTCTTCTTCTTCTTCTTCTCCGTCCTCCTCCTCGTCGTCACGTCCAGTAGGTGAGAGTCTCTGCAGGCGACACGCACAGAGAGGGTTTTTCTCAACAGGTGGGACTTTAACTGGATTATTTTAAAGGTGCGGCTGCAGGTGTGACCTCTGACCTCTGAGGCTGCGTTCACTGAGCTGAATAACTTCGGGACGTTCAGGATAAAGTTTGTTGTGAAAGTGAAACATTTTGTTCCGACCTTCAGGAAGCTCTTTAAACTTGCACGTGTTGGTGAAACCTCCGAGGTTTAATATTCAAAATAATGTGACGGTAATCTTTGTTTTGCCGGCTTGCATTTTTAAGTCTTTTTTTAAAGCAATTTATTTTGTGTCTTTTCCAGACACTTCAAAACTATACTACAGACAGTAAATTACAGTAAATGTTAATTCACTAAAGATTTGAAAAATGTAGTTTCTTTGAAGGACAAAGCTTTATTTAAAACATTCCTCTGTTCATTCTTAAACTCTAGTGTGTTGAATTGTTTGCTTGTAGTTCTACGGCTGACGAATACTTTCATCTAAAACATGTATTAGAAGAGCACTAATGTAACACTGTCACATTCTCTAGATTATGTCTCAGAAATAATCCCTACCGCATCATTTAGTTATGAATTTGATGACTTTATATAATAAGTGGTGCGGTAGGGCTTCGTTATGCTTCTTATAGATTAGAACATTTAGTCTTTGTGATAACAGTTTTGGGTTTTAATGAATCTTGTTCTTTATTTCTTGCCGTGACTCAGTGTTTGGTATAAATATAAATATATGTTTGAAGAAAACTAGATTTAAAATCTTAAACTGAATCTTGCCAAGAAGCGTTGTTCTGCTTGGGTTCATGTAGTGACCTCCACGCTTCCTCTAGACGTTGTTGAGAACGTTCCATGTCTCGTGATTCTTCACATTGCGATCTGAAGCGGTTCCTGGACACCCCTCGGTGTCAGCCGGCGGTCCGCATGCCTGCAGGATGTCGGAATTAGCGGCGTCGGTGTTAACGGCTCTCACGACGTGCTCGGCGCCACATTTGGTTCCTCGGCTTGGTGGCATTTGGAGGATCAGAAGTTAAGTTCCAGGCGGAAATGTCTTCGGCATCCGAGCCCCTCGTGGTCCAGAATTAGTCGGTTTGTGAGCGCCGGCTGCCGGTTCTCCGGCGGTGGAGCGGATCGTGTTTCCTGCTGGAGGTCAAAGGGTCGCTGATCAATAACGTGTTCGGCTTCATGTCGACTCAAGATTTACTGTTTCTGTGTCTCAACAGGCTGAAGACTCCAAACCAGCAGCATGTCTGAGTGAGTACACTCCTACCACTGCTGCTTCTCCTCCTCCTCCTCCTCCTCCTCTTCATACTCCTCCTCCTCTTCATACTCCTCCTCTCCCCCTTTGTCTTCTTCTTCCTCAACTTTTTCTCCTCCTCCTCCTTCTTCTTGTCCTCCTCCTCCGGCTCGGCCTTCGTTTACGGCTCTTTAACTTCCTGATAATCTTGGTGAAGTCTTGGATTAAACACCAGATAGAGTTTCACAACATGGCGTCTCTCAGCGCTGACACAGAGATTAATATCACACTCTGTCCGTCTTCAATCACTGTGCAGGTGTGAATATATGATTTATGAGTTATTAGTTATTTAAATGTTGGGAAAGTAGAGACAAAGCTCTGAAATTATGACTTTAATTCAAATTCAGTTGGTTTTGTTTATCAGACGTTTGTTATCTGAGAAGCTTTCTACAAACAACTAAAGAAATATTCATTCACTGTTTTTATAATTCATTGAATTATTTTCAGCTTGTAGAGAAAAATAATATCTTTCATGTACGTGCACAATTAAACACATTTACCCTCTGATTAGGAACCAAACTAGTGTAAATTGTTGTTTTTATGAATCCGCTGAAGACTTCAGTTACATATCACTTAATACACGAACACATCCCATCAATGTCTGGTCGTTAGATCTTTGTCTGTTTCATTGTCTCATAAAGGAGGAGACATTCAGCCACTCGGTTTAAGAAATATCAGAAAACAACAGCAAAATGATTCATAGAATGTAAATCTTCATCAGCTTCATCATCAGTTGTCTCCGTGTCGGACGGACAGAATGTCTGAAGTGGCTTCAGATGACAGCAGCTGTTTGAGTGAAACACGAGTCTCCTTTATATTATAGAAGTATATTTATTAATACATTTTAAAATGTGTTTCAACCTGTCAGATGGTCAGATTGTCTTCTCTCCTTCAGTAAGATCAGTGTCATAACTTAAACTAAAAAGGATTTTATGATGATTATTTATTGTTAGAAATAGTCAAATAAGTGAACTGCATGAATTCTCAATTTTAGCATCTTTTCTTCCTCCTTTTATTTACCAATGTGTGCAAGTAGAATATTACACACTAACAATGACAACAACACATGCTATCGATCTACAAAACATAAAAGTCTAATAGTTTGAATAAAAAGTGAATTTAATTTAAAGGAGAAAAACTAAAGTGAGAGGGAGAAAAGAAATACGAATAAATAAACGATTTTACCATCTTTAAAAAAAAAAAAGTTTCGTTGTTGAAACAAGTGAGAAGAATATTTGTTTGTTATTTAATTTCTCTCGATATGAGTGTCTTACAACATGTGTGTTTATTAATTTTGCTCATTTTACAGGAACAGTTTATTTATTTTACTTTAATTTCTGGCGGAGAGTTCATGAGAAGGTCGACACCACTCTGCGATAAATATGTATATTACTGCCAGTTAGCTTAGCTTAGCATAAAGACTGGAAGCGGGGGGAAACAGCTAGCCTGGCTCCTGCTCTCTAAAGCTCTCTATTGAACGGATTATGTGTCTCGTTTATTTAATCCAAACAACAACAAACGTAACATGACAATTTGCTGTTCACAGGTAAACATGGCGTCATGTAAATAATGACGTTATTGTTGTTTTTAATTACGTATAATGTGTTAACTAGGGAGATCAATTAGATCACGGTTTGCCTTCTTTTTGTGGGGACCCACTTTTTAAACGTTCTTCATCACCTTCATTTATTTTTAACTGGTGAACCATCATCTAGAAGAGAGATCAGAACTTAGTTGTATGCATGAGTCATTGAAAACATATACACGTTAAATACTTTCTATATGAGAGCAAATAAATGCATTTAGGTGGAGTTAAGCTGCTATCTTTCTTTGTTTTCTAATCATTCTTTAATTTCCTCTCATTAGTTAAACAAACAGAATGCACGCTGGCCTTTCATATTAGATGTAATGTTATAACTAGAATCCAACCATCAGAACAATATGAACATTCAGGCTCCCTCATGTGGCCCAAAAGTGAACTGCAGATAAAAATGTTCAGTTAAAGACAAAGGAAGAAATAATTTATTCAGCGACCCAAATACAATCTCAGGGTCAAGACTGCGACTTTAGGAATAGTTGGTATAGAGTCAGAGTCAGGCTAGCTGTTTCCCCCTGTTTCCACTCGTTATGCTAAGCTAACGCTCACCAGCTGCTGTCTGTAGCTTCATATTTACCCTACAGACAGGAGAGGGCTGTCAATGTGAACATATTTCCAATCTTTCAGACTAACTGACCGAACGTTTTTTATCTCTTGTGTCACAGCGGAAAGAAAATGACGTCCAGCCGCCGGCATCACCTGAAGGTGAGAATGAGTCCTTCTCTTCCTTCTTGCTGACGTCTTGTTGAAGTTTCAGTGGAGCTTCATGGAGAACTTTTAATGTACATGTTCTTCTTCTCACCTCCCTCAGAGTGTGATACTGCAGATTGCCGCCACCTGGATCGAGCAGGAGAAGAAGGACCTCGTGACGGCAAAGGAGACGTACATGTCTGACACCTGCCCTGCCCCCGACATGAGCGGAGACCAGGCCATCCTCATGGTGAGACCGTGAATACTCAGAGTATAAGTACTAACACCACAGTGGAGGAATACTCTGCCACAAAGTTCTAATAGCACACTGTCCAAATACTCTGGTACAGTAGAAGTACTAATACCACACTGTACAAATACTGTTACAGTAAAAGTGTTAATACTACACTGCACACAAGTAAAACAGTTTTAGCAGCATATTTTACTTAAATTATCAAAAGTTAAATCATACAAAATGGTAGTAAGCTGTAACTAGGTACATTTACTCAAGTTTTCTGCCACTTTATACTTCCACTACATGATATTTCAAAAGGACATTTAAAACGGCTCCACATTGACAAACTACAACATTAAAAGTGATAACAATATTATATAATATAAATATAGTAATATAACTAATTTAAAACCATCAGAAAAATGTAGTAGAAACACTGAAGTAAAGTTGTGACTTTGTTTGACACACGTGTTTGTTTTGTGTCTCGACAGGAACTCTGTAAGAAGCTCCAGCAGGCCATCGACAAGATTGACGAGGAGAGGTACGACACCGAGTCCAAAGTCGGCAAGAGCGATACAGAGGTGAGACACACAATGAGCTGATGGTCTCAGGTGAGACGTGTTGTCCACGGTCCAGTCTTGAGATAGAATTTTTTAGCCAACGGGGTGAAGTTTCTTAGATCTAAATATCTTGGCGTCGCACAAAGAACAAAGTGGCGTCGCACAAAGAACAAAGTGGCGTCGCACAAAGAACAAAGTGGCGTCGCACAAAGAACAAAGTGGCGTCGCACAAAGAACAATGTGGCGTCGGACAAAGAACAAAGTGGCGTCGCACAAAGAACAAAGTGGCGTCGGACAAAGAACAAAGTGGCGTCGCACAAAGAACAATGTGGCGTCGGACAAAAAACAAAGTGGCGTCCTGGTGACGTCTCTGTACTCCATGAAAACAACTCCTGTAGTGTTCAGTCAACATAAACAGCTGCTCCAGAGTTTATAGACATTAGATCCTTCTGTTCTTTACAGCGGATGTATATTTAGCATCAGAAGTCACTTATTAGTCCCTCCGACCGGTCGCTTCCACAACATGTGGACCAACACATCGTGATGGTTTTTCTGCCTCCAGATCGACGATCTGAAGATGAAGGTGGTGGAGTTGGCCGGAGTGAAGAAACCGGCCCTGAAGAAGGTCCGCATGTCGGCCGACGCCATGCTGCAGGCTCTGCTGGGAGGGAAACACAAGGTGACCATGGACCTGAGGTCCAACCTGAAGCAGGTCAAGAAGGAGGTCAAGGAGGAGGTGAGGAATCACAGAGGAGTCAAGAGAAGATTCACTCTTCAACATAAAAGCATCGTGGGTCCACTGATATTAAGGTTTCATGGTTGAAGTCAGAATCATGCAGCTTGATTGAGATCTTTATTCTTTAGAAAGAGTTTCACTTTGTTCCAGGTTTGCTCAGCGATGGAAGAAGTACTCAGACTTTAGTACACGTAGAAATACCACAAAAATATAAAACATACCTAAAGTATCAAAGTAAAAGTACTCATTGTGCAATAAATGTCTCCGGTGACATTATTAGGTTATAAATACTGATACATCAGTAGCTAATAAAAAATCATATTCCAATAATAATCCCGTTGCCATGAAAGCGTACGTACTCTGAGTAACGTAAAGTTTGGTGTTGCGATATGTGTGCATATCCAAAGACCTGTTAATATAAAAGTAGGTGTGTTTCTCCTGATCAGACATGTGGGCTTTTCTTTTGGGCATCTCTGCAAACTATTGGCTAGTTGGTTTGTGTTCAACGCACAGAGCCAACTGTAAACAGGAAAGAGGCTGTGTGTTGAAAACGGTGGTAAAACCTCCATTGTGATGCATATTCTGAATATGCTATATACATGTTCAAAAAATGCACTTTAAGCCTGAATAATATCGGCATATCCCACGTCTTAATCTGAACATTTTGAATATAACTTCATTTTTAAAATCCAAACAGAATATGCTGTTTTGTTTCCAGGCTGGTCTCATCCAACATGCGTTGCCATACCTACGAAAAAGAATTTGCTGTAATTCGTACATATCCCACAAAATCTAATCGTATCTAAGTAAAGTGTACAGGTCAAACAAAAACATGTATTTCACGTCAACATCTTTTACTAAACTTAGTAGTTATCTGTGAAGATAGGAGTTTAATTTGAAAATACTTTATTTGTGTGATAATTGGAAATTGACACGTGTTGCTGGACTTTCGGAGGAAAATTCACAAAAAAAATTTACTTTTCGTGAGATATGATATAAAATGGTGCACATCTGACCCGTATCAAATTCAGACTATTGTCTTATTCAGAAAAAAAGTTGAATATTAGTGTGCCTGTAAAACAAAGTCAGTTATACAGCAGCATGTTACTGTTGTAGCTGCTCCAGGTGGAGCTACTTTTGTATACAGTCAGATAGTTTAATTGGACAGAAGAAGAAGAAACTATGGTCTGGTCCACAAATCTGTTTTTAGTTTTCAAACTTTTCTTAATTTTTAGCTTTCTTGTGAAATATTGGACTTTTCTTTGCATATCAAGTACACTGTTTGCCTCTGAGTAGAAGTTTAACGTAACAGAAAATGGACATAAGTAAAGTACATTACAGGACAAAAATGTAGATTTCTGTATCTGAAGCAGGTTTAAAGTCCTCGCTGCTTTTTTATACTTTAGTGAATGAATGGAAACCAACGGCTGCCTGGAAAGAGTTAAAATCACAGGACAGACGACGACATGTAATAGAAATGGGTTAAAACATAAAAAGGCCGATCACCTGATAACGTTGATGTTTTTTGTGTCTGCAGTCGACAGAGGCGGGCGACTGGCGTAAGAACATCGAGGATAAGGCCGACAGGAAGAAGATGTTCGAGACTTCCTAAAAACCCTCTTGAGGCGTCGACGTCTCCGTCAGCTAAGACACTTTTTGTTGTTGTTGTTGTTGTTGTTGTTGTTGTTGTTTTTGTGATACCGAGAGACTGAGCTGAAATAAAGTAACGTCAACATGTACGCAGTTAAAAACACCTGCCAGAAGAAATCACTTCAAAATGTACAGGTTTACATAGAGTCACTCGAAATAAATGTTTGGAAGTAATGTAAGTAATTCATTTGTCTGTTACATTTATCCGCTGAGGAATCGTTCTTTATTTTGTTTTTTACACCTAACAGACACTTCGATTCTGAATTCTTTACACGTTGCAATATTTAGACTTTTAGCTTAAGTCTTTACTTGGATAAAATGTACTTTCTGTTCAAAATATGACTCAGGAGAGTCGTCAGTCTGTGACACGAGAGAAGTCGTTAGATGAGCTTCAGAAATAAATGGAGTAAGTGGACCTTGAGTTTAGTTCTTTTTTGTCTGTAGCAGAGAAAAGACGCTCTCCTGCATGAGTCTCTTCACCTGCAGAGGTACAAATAAAACAACTGATCAACGAATCAAATAGTCAATGAAGTCTTTTTCAGGACATCTTAAGAATTATTATTACTTTGTTTATTAAGTGATTAAATGCCAATAATATATAAATAAAAGTCAGAAAATATCATTATTTTTTAAATATATATCTCAATGTATAAACTTCAGAGAACAGCACTACAGCTACTTAAAGGTCCAGTGTGAAGGCTTTAGTGACATCTAGTGGTGAGTTTGCAGATTGCCACCAACAAAATACGCAGATTGTGGCTACGGTGGCCTTAAGGTGAGATAAAAAAACGTGAAAATTCTCTCTCTAGATCCAGTGTTATGCTTGTCTGTTCTGGGCTACTGTGGGCGGTGCAACAAGAACGCTGATTATTTTTATTACATGTCTTCTAAAAGATCCCCTTAAACGCTACACGCTGGCCCTTTAAGGGATATTTTCAGGTTGAAATCAGAAAGTTGCTTTTCTGGTCCTGGTTTCAAGAACCCTGGGGGGTTACATAGCCCCCCCCCCCCCCCCCCACACACACACTCCCTTGTGTGCATCTGCATCTTGAAGCTTGAAGTCGACTCATGGGGATGGAGGGGGGGGTGTTTGAGGAGCGGGGCTGGGTCTGGTGTATTTCAGGAGCTCGTCGGCTCATTGGTCTGCTCGGGATCCATTTCCATAAAGAGGATCTGAGCGTTTTGCTGAGGCGTCGCAACCCGCCATATAAACCCTATTTCCTTTTTCCCTGTGTGGCTTTGGCAGTGTCTCCTTTTCATCCACAAGTGTGTCGTGGATCTCTTCTTCTTCCTCCTGTCGATAGGTGAGAATTTTAAATTTTTATTTTGTCTCTTGTTTTTGAGCTTCTCTGGGAGCAGCATCTTTTTTTTACTTAATCCGAGCAGCCACACATCAACCAGACTCTGTTTCTAAAATCGCTCGTTTAAGAGGTTGAGATGGTGGCTGTTGGTTCCTCCACCTCTGACCCTTCCTGATATCCTGAACTCACTTTCTACATGTTTCTGCCGACGTGTGACCTTTTCCTGACAAGACCTAAATTTATGGGAGCGTTCAGCTGCACTGAGTAGTGTTTTATGGTCCTGAAGCTGTTTGCAGCTTGCTGGTAGAAAGTCACTGCGATCCCACAGAGTCTTTACACTGTGGCACTCAGCTAAAATACCATCCTGTCAGGATGTCGTCTGAATTATTGTTAAGATCTTATTCTTTAAAAACGGTTTGGAGTGAGACAAATATCGTGAGAAAGAATTTGACAAAACATATTTTTGAATAAGAGCAAATTCATTTGTTTGAATCACGGATATTTTCACAGTTTGTGCCTTTTATTTATTTTTTACATGGGACGTGAACATGTATGTTTAAAGCTTATTGGTGGTGTTTTATGACAACAACTGGTCATTCATTTTCAATTAATTGCTCGTTAATACAGATTACTAATCATGGTTAATAAGTTAATTTATTCCTCTGCAGGATTTAGCGGCTGGTCGTATCATTTCTTGGAGCTCACCTCTTTTATTCTTTGTGTAAAAACGAGTTAAAAGAAAATGTAAATGGTACAACTTTTAAAGGTGGTAAAATCACCGATAAGTCACTGTTTGAAAAGCTGAATTTTTAATGTGAACTTCCATTCCACCTGATTTGGAGCCAGTATTTTAACATTCAAAGTAAGTTAAAGGTGCCGAAGATGAACTGAAGTTAACGATATTCCACTGGAGAATTTCTTTAAATTAACTCTTCACCCTATCCGGTCGTAAACCGTCCAGACGGGACACCGGATCCCGACCGTCCCAGTTTAGTTCAGTTGACGTCGCTGCTCTTCAGCTGTGGTTTGGGATCCCGTTACGGCTCAAATATTCCCGACATCCATCGGAGCAGCAGAACCTGCTGATCTCAGAGAACCTCACACTGACATCCTGATCTGAGACGCTACGGCGGTCAGCAGAGGTCAAAAAGACCCAAATGTGTCCTCCGCTCACTGTCTTCTCATGTGTGTCTTCATGCAGGTCGTGAACCGTAGAAAGAAACGCCAAGATGTCTGAGTAAGTGTGAACATCACCTTCTCTGATCAGATCCACCAGGTTTAGTGCAATAACATCCTCTTTTACAAGCACAGACTGTTTTCAGGAAATAACTGTAAAAAGACAAAAGACATTGTTGTAGAAAGTTTTGTTTTGTTTTTACAATTTTATCCAGAAATCACGACAGAAATCTGCCTTCTTCAAGATTCTGGCTCACGATCCATTAAAGTGACACTTCAGACAAATGTAGTGATGTTGGTCTGTTTATCTTCCATAACTCGTCTTCTTTCAGACTAATGAAGACAACTTTTATTTTACTTTGTTTATTTACGTCTGTAGATTTCTACTAAATTCACCAAAAATCACCATTACATAATGCCTCATTTGCATATTTAAACATAACATGTCACTTGTTCTAAGAAAAGCATGATTGATGGTGATGATGATGATGATGATGATCTCACTCTCAAACAGCAAAAAGATGAATTCCAGCCGCAGGCATCACCTGAAGGTAAATATCGGGGCATTTTATTACAGTCCTGGTTAAAAAATGAGGTGTTCATAATAATATAAGCTCATTATATGATCTGAATTATTGTTAAAAGTGTTTAAAAATACATCTTTATAAATATTTATATACTTAAATCACTGAAATCGTTAACATTTTTGTTAATTTGTGTTAAATTTAATAGTTTAAAGCTTATTGTTTGCATTCTATGACATTAACGTCCCATTAATTGTCAATGAATTGGTCATTATACAGATATTAAGCTGATAATATTATTTATAGATAATGAGTTCATTTAGTGAACACGTGAATCTCTTTTCAGCAGCAGATTAATCAGCATTTGGTGTTCATCCTTTAAAAAGTGTTTCAGATCCTGTTTTTAATTTAAGTTTAATTATTTTGTGGCGGTTTGAGTTCTCAGTGTGTGAAATAATAATAATAATAATAATAATAAAAATAATGAAATGATGCCGTTTGTCCTGCAGAGTGTGATCCTGTCGATCGCTCAGAAATGGCTGGAACAGGAGAAATTGGACGACGCGGCAGCTAAAGAGACCTACATGAAAGATAACTGCCCCGCCCCCGTGATGAGCGGAGACCACAATGCCCTGATGGTGAGACCAGCATCCACAGAGCCTCAGAGCCCCAGAGCCTCAGAGCCACAGAGCCCCAGAGCCTCAGAGCCACAGAGCCCCAGAGCCCCAGAGCCACAGAGCCACAGAGCCCCAGAGCCCCAGAGCCCCAGAGCCCCAGAGCCACAGAGCCCCAGAGCCCCAGAGCCCCAGAGACAAGTACACTATGTACCTCTGAGATGTAGTACAGGGACAAGTACACTATGTACCTCAAATACAAGTACCTCAAAATTGTACTTACCCACAGTACTTGAGTAAATGTACTTAGTTACATTGCACCACTGAAACTAATAGTATAAACTTTAAACTTAGTTTGTATTTAAAGGGGTAGTCACTTTATCTTCAGATATTAATTCATATTGGACACATGTCAGCTAACCTGTAGTTTCATGTACAGTTGTATGTAAATACACCTGTACATGAAACGGGTGTACAGGTGAATGTACATGTGTGTAACACGAGAACTGTGTGTGTTTGCTTGTTTCAACAGGAATACATCAAGAAGATGAACGAGAGGATCGAGAGGATCGACGAGGAGAGGTACGACATCCTGTCCAAAGTTCAGAAGGCCGACAAAGAGGTGACCGCTCTCTGACATCACTAACAACTAAAACAAAAACTTTATTTAAATTTAAAAGTCAGTGACATAAAACGTAAATGCTGTTAAACAGGCTTTTCTTTCTTTCTTCCTTTTTCCCTTTTTCAACTATGACTGCCCTCTATGGAGTCATAGGAGTGCATAAAAGGAAATATACATTATTAAAGAGGAATAAATAAAAGAACTAATAGCTAAATAAAAAAGTAGGAATACAGAGAGCAAAATACTTCAATGAATAAAATGTGAAAATAGGAATACAAATAACTAAAAGTAAAAGCAATTATAAACGTTTTATTTATTAAATTGTATTTATTTATTTTATTTACGTCCATATACATTCATTATATATATTTTGAAAATATACTATTTATTTATTTATTTCCACTTAAATGACTTGTTTTTCTCTGTATATTTTATTTATTTATTTATTGTTGTATATTACAATATGTTTAATTTTTCAGCCCTTTACTTTTACTTGTTTTGTTCCCTATTGTTTTAGCTTTTCTCTATTGATATTAATATTCTGTGAAGGGCCAATCTTTCCATCAGCTTTGGGCGGGCCGACACATATACTGTCATTTAAATAAAATAAAAAATATATACAGAAATATATATATAGAAATAAATGAACAAGAAAATGTGAAAATAAATGAAAATACGTATGATTGTTCTTTCATATGTTTTTATTTGTCCTATTCTTTTACCGATTCATTATTTTTATGGCACTCCTATGACTCCATACTTCAAGATAACAACGTAACAGGAGTCCTTTGAAGAATAAGCTCCATCTGTATTTGCAGTTTTGCTGTCATTTATTTAATTTCCTCCAATTCACATTTACAGTTTGTTTGGCAATGAGTGAAAGTATTGGTAGTTCATATCGTTGGTGTTTTTCCCGTTACATGTAGGGATGGTTCTCCAAGTCGAAACATTAGGATGGCAATTTTCATTATTTTTTCAATCTTATTTCCAAAACATCCCTCCAGAGCTGCACAGTCCCAGATCTTTGAATGTTCTCCAGTCGTTGCACATTTCCTCCAACAGGAAACGACTGATACCGAACCTTTATCAAACACTGAAGCCATCAATGGAGTCCTAAAAACAAACGTGTTTACCTTCATATCAAATCTTTCCACAGATGACTTTTAACATCATTGTGGCTACTCATACAGATATCTTCTCAGGTATCCTCAATAATTAGATTTCATTCTACCTGTAGTTTGTGCTTGGCAGGAGTTCTAATATTACCATAATAACATGTGTACTGGTATGGTCTCTTGTCTTGATTTAGGTATCTGACTGATGATTTGCTGTGTGAGTGTTAACAACGACCCTTTCTATCGTTGTTTTCCTTCTTCTCTCAGATTGAAGACCTGAACATCAAAGTGGTGGACCTGAGAGGAGTGAAGAAACCCGCTCTGAGGAAAGTACGCATGTCCGCCGACACCATGCTGAAGGCTCTGCTGGGCTCCAAGCACACGGTCAACATGGACCTGAGGGCCAACCTGAAGCAGGTCAAGAAGGAGGTCAAGGAGGAGGTGAGTCTACCATGCTCAGTAATATACTGAAGCAAAATACGAAAAAGAATAAAAACGTGTACATAGGAATACAAATAACTAAAAATAATATTTATTTTTTCATTTACGTCCTTATACATTCAATATATATGTTTTGTTTTTTTGCATTTAAATTACTTGTTTTTCTCTGTATATTTTTTTTGATTGAAATAACTTTTAATAATGTTAAAATATGCTCCTTTGCAGCCGCAAGAAGCTGCTGGCGACTGGCGTAAGAACATCGAGGACAAGGCCGACAGGAAGAAGATGTTCGAGACTTCCTAAAAGAACGCATCGCTGCTGTTCGTCTTTCTGTCTTTATGAACTCCACGTGTCTTATTTGTGTTGGTTTGAACCAGACGGAGCTGAACTGCAGCAGCTTAGCAAGTCTGAGAGGAGTCGCTCTGCGTTTGAGGATTTTGTTTTTAATTTGTTTGTTTGTCTGGATGGAAGTTTTTTTGGGGGGAAGGAGGTTCACACACCAACACACAACGGCAAGTCTTAAACTCCACACATTCAGGGAAACATTCAGAACAACATGAACCATGTTCAAGAGAAACAATAAAGTCAAATGTGGAAGAAAATTATTTTGGTGTCTTTATTTGCATTGTTCAGCAACAGAAATGTTTTATCCGGCACCAAAGATAAAGTCTCTGTAGTTTGTGAGTGTAAAATAATATTGTATTAATTTACCTTATTTTATTATACAGAGACAAAGGTCTAAATCCGGGTTCAAAGCCTTCAACAGGAATTATTGGATTTTTTAAATGTATTTATTTCTTTTTGTTATTAAAATCAACGTGATTTGTCTCCAAAATATTATATTTAATTTGAAAATATTTTTATATTTTTTTGTTTTGTTATTTTTCTATATTTTTTATTTTTATTCTATGATTCATTTAGTCAAAATATCTGTGAAAAATAAATGGATATTTCTCTTTAATTTGTAGTAGAAAGTTGTACAACGCATCATTTGTCTTCCATACTGTCGGAAATAGAAATAAAATGAAAAGAAAATGGTAGTTCAGTTATAAAATCATTATTTTTATTAGTGTCGGTATGAAAACTACCAACAGACACTGAACGCGTCTTTTATTCCTCATTCGTGATGACGATCATGATGATGATGATCATGATGATGATGATGAAATAAGATGAGCTATGACTTAATTTATCCTGATGGAAATTGTTGTGCAGCAGTAAATATATGTAATATATGTATGTATAGTAAATTTAGGAGTAGAGTGAAAATATTAAATATAAAAAAATATTTGAACGCTGTTGGAATACTTTGAGAAAATCAAACTCAAATAATATATAAATATATTGAAATAAATGTTACTTCAGACATTTTGTCACAACTAATTGTTATGTATGAGATTGTGTATACAAGTATACAGTACATATGTATGTATGTATGTATGTATATATATATATATATATATATACACATTATGGAAATGTAAAATTATAATTTTAAACACGGATAATAAAAAGTCCAAAAAAGGACTATATTTATATATATATATTATTTGTCAAACCATAGGCTATTTTAGAGACAAAATGTATTACCCCGTATGTTATCATGCTTTAAATATTAAAACTGCTTTGAAATATTATATTTATACATTTATGGATGTGATAAGTTCAGCTGAACTCCAGACGTCTCATACTAAATTTAAACCTCAGTCTGAAGACTGACGAAGAGAGAACACATCTTCTTGGTGAAGTCACATGATCCAAATTTAACTC